GTTAGTTCACTTAAGTTATATTTTTAAGAATATTTTCCAACCATTTGCATGCAAACCATGGACAAGAAAATCAAATCTAAATCACCGTAAATAAAATGTTATAGGAAGTTATTAAGATCTTGTACTAAATTTGTATGACACGGTACATGAAAGGATTCAAATATCATTTAAAAACAGCTAGTGAAATGGTATGGGTCTAGTGAAAACAAAAAAGGGAAGGTAAATATAGGAAAATAAAGGCAAGAAAAGCACTGCGAATGGTCTAGGCCAGAGTAGAGACTTTAGTAGAAAAGAAGATGATCAAAACAGAAACTAGTTTTGCCCCTATACAAGATAGAAGAAGAATTTAGCATTTTCTAACCAGTGGCTTAGCTAGAATTTTTGGGCCCCTATGCAAAAATTATTATTGGGCCCCTACGTTAATCTGTAAATTGTGTATTTTAGACATTTATAGCTGTGTATTTATACTGTAAAATTATGTAGCACCCGGTAGCGTAAAATACTTTTGATTTTATATCACTTTTATGAAAACACAAAGTAACAAATTAACTGTAAGCCTGTAATGTTTAAGTAACCTAACACTGTTGCTTCACGAGACGGGGGTCTCACAAATTAGGCGTGACACCATGACGAAAACTCGTGAAATTTTCTGTCAAAACTATGTTTTATTCAGTTAAAATAATACAATATTAAGGAGAGGGGGTAACACTCCACTGGGAATGCAAAATTGTTAGACGGTGTGGGGGTGACACTCACTAAACGCACCTGGTGATATCGAACCTTGTGATGTCACTAAACCACAAATACAATTTTTAAAAAGTTGCTCATGATTTATTTAGTTTTTTTTTTATAAGTTTGTAAAGTGATTAATATATTCCTTGAAGTCCATTTTAGCTGTTACTGTATGTCCAATACTTAGGATGGCGAAGTTACTGACCCAAATACATATCTACAACTTGTTTCATAACAAGTGATGTCACTAAACCACAAATACAATTTTTAAAAAGTTGCTCATGATTTATTTAGTTTTTTTTTATAAGTTTGTAAAGTGATTAATATATTCCTTGAAGTCCATTTTAGCTGTTACTGTATGTCCAATACTTAGGATGGCGAAGTTACTGACCCAAATACATATCTACAACTTGTTTCATAACATCATAATAATGGAGAGACTTGGGGCGCCCAACTGTATACTACTGCTGATGCGGCTAGAGGACACCCCTTATTTTCATTGATTATGGTAGCCCTCTGTATCCCAAGGGCATGGTGCTCATTAAAACAAGTGCATGCGCCGTAGTGCTCACTGGGAAGGGGGGGCAGGGGGGGGGGGGGCGCCGGCTGATGCACCTGTGCAGTTAGACCGTTGAATTAAGCAGTAATCCTGACTCCTTGTACAGGACACCCAATTAACTGACCCCAAGTGCTAAGATTACAGGGTCCGTAGCGGACCTTGAATCCTTGAAAAACCCTTGAATTCCAAAAAACATCTCAAGGCCTTGAAAAACCCTTGAATTTCCACAAAAATGAGCAAAACCCCTTGAATTTTATAGGTAAACCTTGAAAACCTTGCGTAAATCGAATTTAAAAAAAAATTCAATTCTGAAGGATCTAAACTTTTTCTGCCTTTATTTTTTTTTTTTGCCGTGGGTCTGCGTTAACTTCGGAGTCTATTTCCAACCCTCTCCTTCGCTAAGCCTCGCGGTATGACCTCAACCTGACCAGTTTTGCATAGGCTCTGCCTAACCTAGATTCTAGATCGTGACGTAGATAGCCGAGGGATAAATTTAGCATCGTTTTTCGGGTATCTCCGTTTACTAGATTCTAGATCTAGATTCAGTGTTTTCTGTTAGGGCCTACCTACTTGTACGGTTTTGTCCGTAATTTTTCGATTTTGACACCCCTGTTGCGGAATTAGGCCGCAAATGTTACGCAAAAGCCCACAGTAAACATCAAAATCGATTTAGTGTCGACCTTTTTTTTTTCTTGTGTTAAATTTCCGTGTTATCCGGTTCTATGGTTTCAAACATCTTCAATCATAACAATCGACGCCCCCCGCCCCCCAAATCCCTTCCCGGCAAATATCTCGGCAGTCGTTGGCTCTATTTATATTGTGAACTTTATTGACCCCGCGAGTGGTCTGTTGTCTCCTGATCGGTGATGTCCGTAAAGAAAAAAATTGGAATGTGGCCTAAATCATTAAAATTCTGGTCGCGCATGGAAATTATCTCGATTATAATTAAACCTACATCTAGAACTAATATTTTTTTCTTCAAGAAAATAAGCCTTAGGTTTAAATAAAAAAAGAATAGCCTGAACTATGCGAGCGTAGGTTTCTATTTATTTAAATTAAAATTTTCTCGGTGTGGGTTAAACACAAAAGGGCGAAACGTAGCTGCGGAATTACGGGAAAATAGCGAGACATAATTTATCGAATTATTGTGTTCTGTTATTTTAGATGTGCGAGAAGACACGTTTTTACGAACCTAGATCAATCACGGTTCTTTGTGTACCCCACGATAGCAGATGTTTCGGTCACTGCGACCTTAGAAGGTCTTCTAGGTCTATCTCAACTTACAGTGACCTCGCAGTATATTAATAATCAGGGGCGTAGCGAGGGGGGGGGGGCGGGGGGTGCGGACCGCACCGGGTGACACCATTTAGGGGGGTGACACCAAGGCAAAAAATAGCAAAATATATAGAGAAAAACTCGAGGGGGGGGGGGTGCAAATCGAAAGTTTGAGGGGGGGGGTGCAAATCGAAAATTTGAAAGTTTGTCCCTGGGAAGGGTCTCTATGCCTCTGGGGGGGGTGACACCATTAAGTGCCGCACCGGGTGACACCCGACCTCGCTACGCCACTGTTAATAATTAATATAGTCGTGGATCTTGATCTAGATTTTTAACTATTAACCAACAAGATTTCCTAATGCCAATAGGCCTATTTATCACGTTCGTTAAAAAAACCAATAGCAAATGACGTAATCGTCAATCACACGTGGGCTATGGACCAAATACACATTGACTGTATCAGATGGGTGAGGCTGTAGACAGAACTTTTTGATGTCATTCTTGACGTGGCTGTCTGGTTATTTATGACGATAGAGGTTGGGGTAAAATTCGCATTAATTACGTGACGTCATCAATGGACTACCGCTAGGCTGTGTAATTAAAAAAAAGCTAAATCCTAACATTACCAGCTCATTAGCATCGCCGATTGTCTTCTTAAAAAAGGGAAAGATTTTGCGCCGACGTAAAAAATTTTTTGTATTTATCAAAAGAAAAGAAAAATAATTTGAAGGACTATGACTGTGCTGTTTTCACTCAACTTTACGGACACTTTTTACCGCCTCTCACTTCAAGGTCGCGCTGACCGTAAGACCTACGACACGAGACCACGCGCGAGCACAGTAGTGTCTCACGGTCAAGGCAGTTCTACAAACGCTGTTTATCTAATTTTAACGTGGTTCAGAGGCGTAGCTAGGGGGGGGCGGGGGGGGGGGCGGCCGCCCCGGGCGCCGACCCTTTGGGGGCGCCAAAAGGGGTGGGAAAAAATTTTTAAAGCTGATTTTATGCTGCAGTTTTGAATTATAAACTGTCTAAGTTAAGAAATGTAATGGCTACACGCCTTTACAAACTGATTTAACTGTTTTCTACCTTGATTTCTTAATGTAAAACATATACTCTTAAGAAACAGTGACCGGCAAAACCGCTTTGAAGCTTTACCTAGATGGGGGGGGGGGCGCTTTTTCGAGACTTAAAACGGAAGAATTTACACTAGATTGTTGAGTCGATAAACGTTACCACTATTAAAAGAAACCAATTGTATTGAAACGTATTGTACGATTGTTGAACTGTAAAATACGTTAGTGACTTTTATCAAGATGGTGCAGGGGGGGCGCTTTTAGGCTAAATAAAATAGCAAAATTACACAGGATTCTGAGAAAACAACCTTTAGCTCTCAGAAAGAAACGAATTGTACTGTGCATTGTATAATTGTGTAACATTTTTTAAAAAAAGTTTGTTACGTTAAAAACCGCTCTACAAACTTTGTCCAAGATGGTTGTGATGAGTGTGTGGGTGGGGGTGGGGGCGCTTTTTTCGCTAAAAAAATCGCAAGTATTTGTACTGGATTGGTGAGCAGATAACTCTCTTAACACTTAGTAAAGAAACCAAGTGTATTAACGCGTAATGTACAATTTCAATAGCCAGTTTTGTTTAAAAAAAAAGACGCGACTAGTTCTTTGTAAGATTCTTACGATTCTCTCAACTTCAACGTGAGAGATCAGATACTTTTGATTGATTGCATTACATCTTACCTGGATCACTGAACTATATTAAAGAGAACTAAATATCACGGATTCTTGAATCCCTAACCACCACTTTTTTCCATGCTCTTATTTCATTCTCCACTGTCTGTAATCTAGCTCCAAGCCATACAGTAAAAGAGACCACATTTAGTTATAGATCCTGATTGAATTTTTTTGACAATGCATTTGAGTTCTACATTTTCTTAGAGTATTAAAACGCGTTTTATTGCTGCTGATTATAATCAGAACGTCATGGGCTATCATTAAATTGATTGTTACTGCTTCTTCAATCAATACAATTAGTTCTGCATTTGTTGTTGACGTTGTGCGAGCAGTGTTTCTTCCAGACTTTTTTCTTCGGGGGGGGGGGGGGGGCACTTGAAATTTTCGGGGGGGGGGGGGGGCGGTAGACTTTCTTCGGGAGGGGGGGGGGGGCGGACACTGTTAAACGTATATATTTTCTATATATAAATTTCATTTCGTTCGGGGGGGGCGGTAAAAAATTTTTCGGAGGCTTCGCCCCCCCCCCCCCCCCGAAGAGATGCCTGGAAGAAACTATGTGTGCGAGAAGGCAGGGCTAATCTGCGAAATCCAAGACTACGAGCTGTTAACATCCGTTGGATTCCAGTTTGTTTTCCCTAGCTTGTTTTGTCATACCATCAACCAATCAACGAAATACCCATGTCGTATTCCAA